ACAGATGTATTTCTCAAAGATGCAATAAGCTGGTATAGTGAAGAAATGAATTATTCCATTCAAGTTCAGGTAAAGAATTCCCTGTCTGATACAAAGTGTGAGGCCTGTCTCATTACCCAGCTTAATAGCTACAATCTGAGATTTTTTTTGCCTTGTTTTTAGTGTCTGATGTTTCCACCTGGACTCGTCAGAAGGAGATTTGCCCTCTGTCTTTAAGAAAGTTTGCCTCCAAATTGGAGGGAGCTGCTGGAGTGAAGGAACTTATTATGTTTTCAAGAATGACAGGAGAAATAACATCTGCTTCAGGCTTTTAAACTACTCTTCCTCTCCTTGCAACGCCCATGGGAAGAGGGAAGTATGAGAACTTCAACAATGTAGCGTCTTACGACTTATAGTCACAAAGACTCTTGCCATATGGCTGGGAGGGAGAAGAAAGCCCTACCCAGAGAACGTCTAACCTTAGTAGAAAGGCCACATGAGCCAGTCTATAAAAACCCAATGCACGGCCAATGAATTGTTTAAAGATAAGATGATGGGGGAGATTTTCAAAGTCACAGAAGGCCCATCAGATCTTCTTGAACATCGACAGCCGTTGTGCATCCAATGCCCCTTTGAAAATCTCCTCCAGTGTGTCTGGGCTTGGACCGGCACTCAGCTCTGTTCAGAGAAACCACAGTGCTGGAGTGACTGTGTAAAGCCCAGCATTCCTCCCAGTGCTTAAAATGTGTGTGTTGGGGGGGGGAGGGAATACTGCATAGGGGTCATGGACCCAGCAACAAAAGAGAAGTAAATTCAAATTAAAAACCAAGCTCAGTTGCTGGGGGGCACACTTGAGGCACTGTCTTACCAAAGCCACGATTCCCAGATGATAGACACCCCGCCCCAGACTTTTAGCACTGATTCTCCCAAACTCAGTCTGAAGTCAGGAGCAACTGCAGCCAGGGAGGGGAAAAGGGATTCAATATTCCCCCAAGCCCTTCCTCGACCCTGTTCATTTCCAGCCCCAGGCACAGGTCACTCTAGGCAAAAAGATCCCACCCAAAGGCACTCCCTCTCTTTCCCTCACCTCCTGCATTTGCTGGCAGCTGCAGGGATTGTACTCGGCGATGGAGCTGTGTGTCAGGGGAGAGCCGGTGTGATGGTGAGGAGGCAGATGATGGTATGTAGGGATTTTTTAAGGGAGCCATCAAGCTGTACCGTGCCTTGCTGAACAGTGTTGTCAATGTCTTTGTCCTTCCCTTCTCCTTTTGAGGTCTGAACGCCTCTGAGATGGGCGGGGGGTAATTTCCACCCAAGGAGATGTACACACACTAGGTCTGATTGAGCTAGCATGGTTAGGTCTACTGGAGCTAGAATTTACCCCGCCAGTTGGTTTGTTTCTCTTCCCTCCTTGTCATGTCCCATCTAGATTTAGATCGGCAGGTCTTGGAGGCAGGGGCTGGGCCTGTACATGTTTCATGAAGTGCTACACACTTTTTGGTGCTTTAAAAATAAGCAATCATTGAAATTTTATACTGTGTGCCATATAATCTGACCTAAAAAACCAGTTCAGCCTGGCTTGGGTCTGATGCAGCCACATGGACTGAGAACCTGCCAAGGGTGAAGACAAACAGCAAGGTGGAAATGGGCTGTAGGGCTAGTATCTGATTCAGCATCTTTATTAGTGATCTGGAATGGGGAGGTTAATGATGTTCACAGATGATACTAAGGAGGAGCTACATAAGCACACTTCTCTGTCTTCAGTGGGGTATCTATCCTACTGAGCACTCACAAGTCTAAAGGTACCTAGTGCTTCATGAATAAGGCTATGATTTAGTCATGCATATTTTTGGTGAAAGCCACAGACAGGTCACGGGCAATAAATAAAAATTCACAGCACATGATCTGTCCGTGACTTTTATCAAAAAGACCCCTGACTAAATCTCTAATTCTGAGGCCCCGCTGCTCCCGAGGGCTGCTCTCCAGATGGCCTCCAGGTGTCGTGGGACGGCTGCTCCAGCTGCCTAGGGACCGCTGCTGCTCGGGCACTCCCCAGAGCCAGCCACATCAGCTGCTCTTCCAGCAGTCACTGAAGCCAGCCGCCCAGGGCCACCTGAGCAGTGGTCGGTGCAGCTAGCCCCATGGCAGCCCCCAGGACCACTGTTCAGATGCTCCCCCGGGCCGCCCCAGGACTGCTGCTTGCACGGTCCCTGGAGCCAGCCGCCCAAGCAGTGGCTGGTGCAGCTGGCTCCTGAGTGGAGGCTCCCAGGACGGCTGCTCAGATGTTCCCTGAAGCCACCTGGCCCTGGGCCTCCCAAGCAGCAGCCGGTGCGGCTGGCCCCAGGGACCACCAGAGCAGCTGGCCCAGGTCACTCCAGCAGCGGCCGGTGCGGACGGCTGCGGAGCCCCCAAGCAGCAGGTCCCGAGGCCAGCTGCTGGGGTGGCCCTGAAGTCAGCTGCACCAGCTGCTGCAGAAGTTACAGATTCTGTGACTTCCGCGACCTCTGTGAAAGAATTGCTGCCTTATTCATGATCGTCAGTCAATTAAGGGCTTGATCATGCTCCCTTGAGCTGTGTCTGGATGGAACCTCCGTGCCTGGCTCTTGCCCTCCCAAGTAGAAGGGGCCCAGCTGTCTCCATGACAGCATCCTGTTCCTCTGGTCACTAGAGGGCACTCCACAGTTGAGGGGTGCATACAAGGAGGTGGGGAAATGCATCCTCCCCCTCCCAGCCCAGCAGAGCTCAGGGCTCCAAGGTAACATCCCACCCCATGATGGGATTCCCCTTTAAGGGGAGTTCCAGGCGAAGCCCTAGTAGTGTAGCTCTGTTGGAGCCAAAACCACCAAAGAACTGCTGCAGAGGCACAACCCCCCCCCTTCAGACTTCTCCAAGCTCCCCTGTACCAACATCCTCTGGGATCTGTGAAGATCCTGGGGAGTAAGCAGGGTTTGTGGTGCAGCCCCCCTAGACTTGGGTGGGGGGAGGGGGTGCAAACTCCCTGAAGGAACAACTGGGGAGAAATGCCTTTGTCCCCCTCCTGATGCCTGAAGTGCTTTGGCACAGGGAGACTGGGTCTCAGACTTCTGTAAAGCATCTAGTATCTTTTGGATGCTTGGGCCTGAATCCAGCAAAGCACTTAAACAGGTGCATAACCCCAGCATGTAAGTAGCCCCATATAAATCAATGGATACTACTCATGTGCTTAACGCAGTGGTCCCCAAACTGTGGGGTACACCCCCCTAAGAGGGCACGGAGGAACATTTGGGGGGCATGGCAGGCCCTGGCCCAGCCCCTGGGGGGCAAGGAGGGAGCACCACCCAAACCCACTCTGCCCCCAGCTCTGTGGCCAATGGCCCCATTCCTGGTCACAGCCCCAGCTGCAGCTCTGGTCCCGGCCCTCACCGCGGCCCTGTTCCTGGCCATGGCTCCGCTCCTGATTCTTGCTCCCCACTGAAGCTCCCTGGGAGGCACGGACCAGGTAAGTGGGGGCACAAGTGAAAAAGTTTGGGGACCACTTCCTTAATGTTATGCATATACTGTACTGGCTCAGGGTCTCTCTGCCTCTCCCTCAATACATAATAAATAAAAATCCTCACACACTCTTCCTCCCCCTTATGAGGTGAGTCAGTATTATCCCATTTTACAGATGGGGAAACTGATGCATGGAGACCTTTTCATGACTTGCCCAAGATCACATAGCAAGTCAGTGGCAGAGATGGAATTTGAATCCGTATCTTCTGTTTGCTAGTCCCATGCAAAAGCCACAAAAGAAGCTGTCACTTGGGGTTAGAAAAATAGCAAAGTAAGCGCAGGTCTACACTTAAAACGCTGCATTGGTGTGGCTGCACCACTGTAGTGCTTACATGAAGACACTCCTACACACACAGCCCCACAGAGAGCTCTCCTATCGGCCAAAGCAGGGACCTGTGCTGAACAGAATGAGGATCCCAAACGGGCGCTGCAGCAACGTACTTGCTCTCCAGTAGCCTGTTTACTCCCTGCCTCTGGTGGAGAGGCAGGGAATCAGAATGAAGAGCGTTTAGCTTCCAAATGCTGCAATTTGCCAACTATTTCCATTACACTGGGAACTTTTGCTAGATAAATATATCAACACCCTTTTTGATGGGCTAATGCCTCCTGCTGCTGAGTTGGGAAGTAGCCATCTATTATCCTCTTGAGACAAAGTGGATTTTCCTGTGAGAGTCTCAGCCAGCCTCACACCTGCCTGCACTTATTATCTGTATTATTTAGATAGCATCATCACTTTCCCTTCAGGTTCCTTTGGGGGAGAAGTTTCTGGTGGCAGATGCTGCGCTCATTCAGAGGGAATCTAGTTTTCGGAAGCTAAGCAAGCAGCTTTGTAAAGGGGGGCTGTGTAGAATAGCAGGGGCTTCTATAAAACCTGGAGCAGCCTAGGAGAATGAATTACAAGCCAGGTACTGGTCAGATACCAAAGGCACTTTCCTTCCACACTAGCCCTTTGAAACTGCAAACACCCAGCTCCTTTCCCACAGACACTGCCCCAGAGCGAATAGGATTTTGCAAACCTGGATTGAAAAGGGGGTTACATGCACACAAGTAGAAGGTATTGTTATTGGCACAATTAACCAAACTGACTAATTGCCTCTTCTATTCTATTTAGCTTTTTATACATCTTCCAGGCACCTCAGCATCTTCCAGTGATGCCTTGAGCGACATGACTAGCATCTATCATGCATAGTTTGACTATTCGTTCTCTTTAGCCACACTGTCTAATTACTGATCCCCAAACTTTAGCAGAGGGCTGAGTTGTAAGGGAAAGTCCACAGAGCCCTTCTCTTTGTGGCCACCTCAGATTTTCAGACCCACCTGAAGTGGCTCTGCAATATCTGTGAAATACTGGGGGGTCAAAATCTTTTGCTAAATCCTAACCAGCCACTGCCCCTCCCAGAAACAACTATCTGTTAATCCTGCCTGGCTGCTATTGTCTGATCAAAGCAGGACAGTACCCTGAATAAGAAAAGTCCAGGGATGCTCCTTACCTGAGTGATGAAGAGTGTCTCACCCACTAAGTTGGAGAGAAGGTAGCTGAAGTAAACCTGATCCAGGCATGATGCTGGCTAGGAACAGCCCTTCATCTGGAATGATTCCAGCCTCCTCCTTTCAGGGTGGATCCTTTAGCTGCTTTGCTTGGAAGCCTTAGGTGGTCAGTGACAGCACCAGGTATAGCACTGGGGACCGCGCCTCAGCGCAGCCGGAGACAGCACTGGAAATGTGCATCAGCATAGCCAGACACAGCATTGGAGATGTGCATCAGCACAGCCCTCTAGCTGCAGCAAAACCCTACTTCCCATTTGTGTCAAGAGAGCCCAGCGTTCACTCACTCTAGCACTCCAGCTGCGGTGTGATCAGCTGCAAACATTCCCGAAGGAGAGCTGCACGTTGCCCGATTACTGCTCCTTCCCACAAGGTTTGTCTTGCTAATTCAGCTAAGGACTCAGAAATGCTGCCTTTTTCATTCTCTTTCTTTTTGCTGCCTTTCCCTTGGCACTGCTGCTCCCGCAAACACCCTGGGAAGAAAAGAGGTAGGGCTGCACAGCAGAATTTCAAGAAAAAGACAAACTGGGTTGCTCTGTGCCGGTGCTAAGGGTCAAGGAGGCCCAGCTCTGGTACTGTCTCTCACTGGGACAGCCAGTGTGCTCTCTGCTCCAGTGGGACAGGGCTGGCTCAGTCCACCTGGGAATCCTGGAGCCAGAGCTTGGCTGTTTATTTTTGTGGGATGGAAAAGCTGAGCTTCTCCTTTACGTGGGATTTCTTTCTTAAAGCATAGAGTTTGTATAGAATTAAAACTAAAGGGCCTGATTCAGATCTCCTTCACTAGACTTCCACCAGGGTAAAACCTGTGTGAGTTCAATTGGGTTAATCCTGATCTACACCAGCATGAAGTGAGATTGGAGCCGAGCCAAGCCTCAATAGCCTACCTACTCCCATAACCCTTATCCACTCTCAACCTGCACTCCAAAGAGCTCATACAGCGCCCCAACCTGCCAACTCCTTCCCCACTCCCCCAAGCCCACCACAACTTCTCTCCCCTCACCCCAACAGCTCCCCAGGCCTCTCCCAATACCCCTAAACTGCTTCCCCAAACAGCTTCCCTCTACTGCTTCCCTCACACTCTCAAACTGCATCTCTGCTATGACCACAACCCACTCAAACCTCCTCAAGCCTCACCCATACTATGCTCCAGCATCCCCGAACAGCTTTCATGCTGCACTCTCACCTTTCCGTTGTCATGTCCCTGACAGCCCTAGGTCGCTGCCCTGCCATTTCACCTCCCATGGGGCTGTGCCGCCAACAGCCCCAAGTGTTCCAGTGCTGTTACCCCAAGACTTCTCCTCAAATCCTCACAGCGCTCCCATGCCACATTCCTGGACCCCCAAAACCACTACCACATCCCTTCATGGTTTCGATAGCATGAGATTTTATCCCACATGTGCCTACTTACACCTTCCTCTGAAGCATCTGGTACTGGTTGCCGTCAGAGATAGGATACTGGGCCTTGGCTCTGATCCAGTCTGGCAATTCCTGTGTTCAAAGCATCCTAGTGCCATGCTGCATCCCCACATGCTCACAGTGGTTCTATGCCACCCCCAAAGCCAAACTGCCCTGATCCCACATCTCCAGTAGGCCTCTACGCCCAATGTCATGGCCCTGCCCAGGCTAAAGCTCTGACTTCTCAGCAGGATTTGTGTTTCCTGTAAATGCTCGGAGGAGGGTCTAGACTAACCTCTCCCACCACGTGATTTCTGCTTCCCACATACTCCATGAGTGGCTGGCAGGTTATTGCAAATGTATAGACATTTCTGATGGCCTAGCTCCCAGGTGCCACCTGAGTTCTGACTGGGAGAATGAAACAGAGATAGAATCTTTTCTGCTCACACTTTGGAGGCTTGTTTCTGGGTATGTCTACTCTGCAACTAGACACCCACGGCTGGGCCGTGCTCCACTGGCTGCAGTCCAGGCTCTAGGACCCTCAAACCTCGCAGGGTCCTAGAGCTCTGGCTGCAGCCTGAGCCCAAATGTCTACACCACAGTTAAACAGCCCCTTAGCCAAAGCCCCACAAGCCTGAGTCAGCTGGTGCAGGTCAGCTGCAGGTGTCTAGTTGCAGTGTAGACATACCCAGAAACAAGTCTCCAAAGTGTGAGCAGAAAAGTTTCTATCTTTGTCTTATTCTCCCAGTCAGACATACCCTCTCTTTCTAGCCACAGCAGTGAGATCATTTAACAGGAATAGCATGGAGGTGAGCCATTGGATTGAGCTGGATAACAAGAGCAACACAGCCCCTGAACTCCCCATCTGTGATTTCTGCGTCTGACACAGGAGTCCAACTCTGACTGACTGTCAGCTCATTTAAGGCCTGATAGCTCATCTCCTCCATCACCAATAGAAAGGGTGTGAGCCAGCCTTATGCACATTCATTCCCGCAGCACATGGCTACCTTCTAGGGAATCTCGCCGGAGCCCAGAGTTGCTACTAATAACAAAGCAACACCCCCAAATAGAATGGTTCCCCATGGCCAGATCCCACCCAACACCAGGCAGCGTCGGTAGAGGATTCTTAAGAGCAAACCTCAGATGGGCTCAAAGCAAACCCCTGCATACAGACACCCCTGGATTTGGGGTAAATTTGTAATCCAAACCTGGATCCAAATTCAGAATTGGTGGCAGACCTCCAACCTATAGTTGGCTGAACCAAAATGCAGGGTAACAATAAAACAAGGAGAAGGAGATGGGACTCTCCTTTTGCAGCCCTAGGAGCAACGAGGTTTGGTGCCAAATGCGTTAGTTCAGTGAAAATCCTAGATAACGATCCTGACTACACGTCACCAGGAGCAGCTAGAATCTATGGGCACAGTTTCAGCTGGCACATGGCTGGAGACAGGGTGCCCACACTCCTGTTTGCCTTGGTTATCAAGCCACTTGCAGCAAGATTCAGGCAACATGTGCTGATTAAAGGTAAACAGAGAGGGCTTGTAAGGGACAAAGCCTTGTTATACTAGGACGACCCGTTGGCTTATATGGCAAGGTCTTGGGAAGAGCTCTTGCAAACCTTTTCCAGAAAACAGAAGTTTAAAGGACTCTGGGGTCTGACAGTAAATTACCATAAAAGTGAGCTCTTACTGTACGTCTCAGCAAAACCCCACTGCCGAAATCACCGGAGAGCCCCAAAGAAAAGGTCGCCAGCCAGATGAAATACCTTGATATACAGTTTGCTAATTCCTGTCAAACCAGTTTGAATTTACATTATGATAAGCTGCTGAAACGCACGCGGAAAGGACTAGATGGATGGGTAATCAAAACAGCAATATTACCAAAGTATAATAGTCTCTGCCACAGCAGCCCCATCAAAATCCCCACAAGCTGCTTTTGTCAATTCAATGGAGCCGCTCTGCCCTTCATATGGGCCACACGCAATCACCGGATTAAAATGCAGGCACTGTAATTACCCAGACAGGGTGGGAGATTAGCCCTCCCAAACTTCTACAGATACTACTTAGCAGCAGAGCTGCAGCTCTGTGTCCCCTGCTTTGATGACGAGAAGATGACATTAACATCCTGAATCAAAGACTCTGACCCAGGATGTCTCTTTGCTGGAGTCGTGTGTGTGAGAGGGTGTGTAAAAACAGCTTAGCACCATGATGATCTGATAACTTTTATGAATGCAGGCCAGCGTGCAGCTTTAAGAGAAAAGGGGAAAAGCACATGGAAACCTGTGGTCCAGTCACTCAGGTGGCTACATGCAAAAGGACTGGATGACCTAATAAAAGTCGGGGGGGGGGGGGGGGGAAGGGGGAGGAGGGAAGGAACCACATACAATACAGAAACATTTTTCATGCAAGGAACAAAAGAGGAATTCAGAAAGGATTGAAGCAATAATGTGCAAAGTCTCTTGCTCTGCTGAGCCTCACTGTGAATATTTATACGTCTAATGGGATGAATGAAATGGGCCCATTAGCAAAAAAAAAAAAAAAAAAAAGGGAATAAGTGGTCCCCGATCTCAGCTTGAGTGGCAAGGAGACCTCTGGCAAGGACGCATGCAGTTAGAGGAAATGAGATCTCATTATATTATATACCAGTAGTTTTCAAACTGTGGGTCACAACCCAGTACTGAGTCACAGAATGTAAGGCACTGGGTCGCAGCAGCTCTGGTCAGCACTGCCGACCGGGCCGTTAAAAGTCCCATTAGCGGGGCTGCCCGGCTAAGGCAGGCTAGTCCCTATGTGTTCTGACACTGTGCTGCGCCCCCTGGAAATGGCCAGCAGCAGGTCCGGCTCCAAGGTGGGGGTGGGGCACCACGGGGCTCTGAGCGCTGCCCCTGCCCCAAGCACCGGCACTCCCATTGGCGTGCCTCTGGGCCTAGGAGCTGGACCTGCTGCTGGCCGCTCCCAAGGTGCCGCACGGTCTGCGGTGCCAGGACAGGCAGGAAGCCGGCCTTAACACCCCTGCTGCGCTGCTGACCAGGAGCCACCTGAGGTAATCCCACCCCCCCAACCCTGCACCCCTCAACCTTGCAACCCTACTCCCTGACCCAGTCCTGAGCCCCCCCAAACCCGGAGCCCCTTCTGCACCCCAAACCAGGCATCCAGGTCCCACCCCAGAGCCTTCACTCCCAGCCCAGAGCCCTGACCCCCTCCCGCACCCCAACCCCCTGCCCCAGCCCTGAGCTCCCCCAAACCCAGAGTCCCCTCCTGCACCGCAAACCCCTCATCCCCAACCCCACCCCAGAGCCCTGACCCCCTTCCACACCCCAACCCCCTGCCCCAGCCCTGAGCCCCCCACCAAACCAAGCCCACTCCTGCACCCTAACCCGCTCCGGCCCCACCCTGCAGCCTTCACCCTGGCACCCCAACCATCTGCCCCAGCGCTGAGCCCCCTTCCCCCAAACCCCTCATCCCCAGCTCCACTGGGTCATGGGCATCAATTTTCTTAAACTGGGTTGCCAGAAAAAAAAAAAAAAGAAGTTTGAAAACCACTGTTATATACCAGTGGACATATCACAGTGTAGCCATTAGACCACTCAAACAATGCCTCTGTTCAAAAACAAACTTACTATGGACAAACTACATGAATAAAAAGTCATGCTTTTGTTCTGGGGTTACTCTGCATTGAAAGGAGATGGTAAATGGTACGTCAGATGTTAGAAGCACCATTGCCACTACGTCCTGTGCTTTGCATTCTTCATCTAACAGACAAAGCAACAAATAACTATGCCAGGACAAATCTGTTAACATTTCATTACTGGCAGCCAAAAACCTGATCACATTAAATGAGAAACCTGAACTCTCAGCAAACAGTAACAAGTGGTTATTTCAGATCAAGGGTTTAGTGCCAGTAAAAAAACACACACAAAAACCCCACCAAACAAGGGTCCAAAATAACTGGAAGGTTTTTCAGATGAGGATTCTGCTGCAGGACATATCCTCAAGGCAGCTGATTAGGCTAGGAAAGAAAAAAGATAAAAGGAAGAGGAATGACATCAGACTCAAGAGGATGTAAATGCTTTTGGGAAAAGCACAAACATCTCTAAAAGTCCAGACTCAGGCAGCTGTATTAAGCTGAGCCCAGACCACATCAGAAAGAGCCTGATTTGCTAAAGAGCTCAGCATCTACTTAGGCATCA